TTTTGTTTTTTTACTTATAGTTCTACTAGTTAGGTATTATACATTTGTTTGTAAAATATAAGTATAATTAATAGTCAATTAAAAACAACACGATAGAATTTTTAAAAATAAGTTAATATCTGTGTACAAGCAGTAACACTCCAAAAGGTATGTTCTTTGACTATTAATTGTATTTATATTTTTCAAACAAATGTATAACACATAACTAGTAGAACTATAAGTAAAATACAAAATTCTTTTAGTCTGAAAATGGTTAAATAAACCGAAACGTTACAAAATCATATAGTTGTGTAATTATTTGAGACCCACACTAGAAAAAACTGCATAATTTAATAGTAACAGTCATTAATCTAACTTAAATTTATCATAAAATTAATTTAAGTTGCAAAAAATGCACATTAGATAAAAAATTATAATGGAAACGCTTACCCGGCTTTTCCTAGATCAGGTGCAACGCCTCCTGAGAAATGAATACTGCAGTAAATAACTACTGAATTTAATTACGGTAGAGCAAAATAATTCTATTTGTTAGTTACGTTATCACTAATTGTAAGCATAAACTTTTATTTAACAGTTGGACTTTATTTCTTCATCTTCTATAATTAAACTTTACAGTTTATTGTAATGTATTCTGTGTGTTATCAAAAAGAAAACAGTACCAGAGTGAACATTTGTTTATTAGATAAAAGGAATCTCCCGAGCTCGTATCAGTACAAAATGCACTTTTTTTAAATCCTAAAGACTTACCACAAACAACTACAATAAGTGTTACAAAAATAATATTTTCAATCATTATTGCAGGCAACATTATTATTCCACATATCACTAGGCCTGCTTGGCGTTGAATACTTAAATAATAAGCATATGGAAAGTAGAGTAGTAGAACAGGTATCTAATGCTAAAGGTGAACCAGTATCATCCATCGTTACATATGTATTGTATTTGTAATTACTTATATAATAAGTGATCTCTAAAAGTAGAATTCCAGTAACCAAATTCCTCACAAGGTAATAATTATTTAAACAAATTGTTAGATAAGAAGGACGAGTTTCTAGCTTCGAATTGCTTTGATTATGATTAAATCAAATTGTTACTTAAATGATTCTAAAATTTTTTTGTTTGTTTATGGTTGGTTTTAATTTTACTTTAAAATGTATATTAATCCAGCCAATTCTAGATTTAATAATTTTTTTGGTATTTCATGGTTAATTTGCATAATGCTGTTATTCTTACATATTAACCCTTTACTAATGTGCCAGATTATTTCATTCGTGTATTATAAAAAAAATCAGTACCTTATCATTTGGAGCACTTACTAATATACCATGTTGGTACTTTTCGGAATCTTCTAACTTTTTTAAGTGTTTCTTATTAATTATAGGTGATAGCGTATTAGTTATCAGTTTTAATATTTTTAGTCTTTTGTAAATCACACAATTATATTATTATTACGATGTAAAATTTGGTTTTGATCGCCCTGTATATTATTACGATCCGTACCAAGTAATAGGGCGCTGCCTCTAGGCAGAATTGGTTACTACTCAACGATACTTAGATTGATAAATGTGGCAACTGCAAAGTGGACTAATGAGAATAATTCTGAGTATACAGAATTTGACTCATCGCAGCGGTTAATAGAGGGCGCCCTTGTACATAATCAGCTTTAATACTTAGTAATAAGACCTTAATAAAAACAGTTAGATGTTAATTTGTTTTCGATTATTTATACATACATATGTAGGTAGGATATTTTTTTTTATTTCAATTTGTATAGGTACCGAATTGTTATCCTGTAATCTATAATTTAAAAATTATTATTAGTCGTAATTACAGGTTAACAGAAATAAATTCAACTAGCATGTTGTTTATCATCCTTGAGGGTTTTGGTCAAATTAATGCGGAAAATTGACGGCTTTTCGATAACAGCCGATACCAAACTGAGATAACATCTCAATAATAATTGACCTGAACAGCTGGTGCTTATTCCACATGGCATTTTCACGTATACGCTCGTAAATCTATCGCAGCAACTGTTAGCACTATTAACACTCGCTGTTTTGCGGATATGTTTGACTTGTTTTAATGAAGCATTGCTAGCAACACCTGTTAACATTAAATTACACACCTAATGTACTAATGCATATGTACGAACGTGTGCACGTATTTGTAGGCGGCATTTAAACGTGTAGTTCTTTTAATTATACCATCCATTAACTATCTATTTTGGCGCCTAGAATGGAATGAAAAAATGCGCTTGTCTGGTGGAAAAACTCTTTAAAATACATCGAAACTAGAAATAGTCCGGGTACCCGAAGGTTCTGAATACGGCTGGGTACTAGATAATAACGCTGGGTACGCGGCGGATTGGGCATATTTTTAAAAATCCGGCCGGATACCGGATAATGACGCCAGGTACTCCGCGGATTCGACATATTTTTCAGTACCCGACCGATAATGGCACCGGGTACTCGGCGGATCTGGCACATTTTTTTAGGATCCGGCCGGATAGTGACACCGTGTACTCCGCGGATTTGGCACATTTTTTAGGATCAAGCCGGATATCGGATAAGACGCCAGGTACTCCGCGGTTTCGACATATTTTTAAGTACCCGGCCGGAATATGACGCCAAGTACTCGACGGATTCGGCATATTTTTTAGGATCTGGCCGGGTACCGGATAATGACAGTGTACTCGGCGGATCTGGCACATTTTTTTGGATCAAGCCGGATATCGGATAAGACGCCAGATACTCGGCGAATTCGGCGCATTTTTTAGGATTCGGCCGGATAATGACACCGGGTACTCGGCGGATTTGGCCCATTTTTTAAGATTCGGCCGGGTACTAAAGAAATAAAAATTCAAAAACAACAAAGAAATAACACACGTAAATCCTTTTTTCTGTTCGAACTTTATTTTGGGTAGGCATAGATTTTATTATCCATACAGTCTAATCGACTTGAAAACATATCAAAGATAATCCTATCGCGCCTTTAATTTGTTTTGATTTACGTCAAGTGTTTGACAGCTGGAAACAGATGTTTTAATTTACTCTATAGTTTGTATTGGAAAAGAAAAGTGGGGTTTTTACGTTTTTCTGGGCAATTTTTCCAATTTTTCTCTTCATAAGAACCTTCCACAGACTTCAAGGAATATTCATCATCATCATAAGGTCGTCAGTCCTAAGACTGGTTGGACAGGCACCTCCACTCCTTCCTATCCTGAGCTAATCTTCGCATTTCCCTAAAACTAGAACATTCCACATCCTTTATTTGCGAACAGTAATCTAATCTAGGTCTACCTCACCTACGACAGTTGGTTAGGTAACTAAAACTAAGTGTGAAATTATCATCCACTAGTCGATTATTTACTTTGCTAATTTGTATATGGATTTTTGAAACCCTCGGTCGTTTCGGTTATGCGATAAAGGAAAAAGGAACGAATGGTATGCGGTTAACGAGGACGGACGGTTCTTTCCCGAAGTACAGGTGGGTAGCAGGTGCCACCTGTGGACAGGTGTAAGATCTATATAAGCTCGCATGTGTACCCGGTTCACTTAACAGCTGTGTTCTTATTATTTTATCTACGTTTTGGACCATCTGCTCGGATAATATTGTAGGTTATTACGAACCCGGTTTCGAATACTTAACGACACCTATTATATCGTATATAGATATATCTGTTTGTCAGACATAGGCAAGGACATGCGAAATGTGCACATTTTTATTCTACTGATGGGTATACGGGGCGTTTTGTAATAAATTATCGTATATTAGGATCATTTAAGTATATACTGTAATGTTCGTGGGTTTAACAAAATTAACTTCTAAGACTGATAACGGCAAAAACTATTTATTTACACTAATTACTAAAGAACTTAAAAACACTATTAAATTATTACTAAACTTAGGTTATGAATTATTCTACTACTGATATATCACTATTCACTGCGCTATTTATTTCACTTCCATCACTGTCAATTTATTTCTGGATTCACTTCTGCAACGATCAATCTATTTCTTCCTCTCTCGTCGATCGTCTCTTTCTTTAAATACTCTTTTNCTTTGAACTGTTTAACTGCTTTCTCAGAACGCAGGTACGACACACACATTTACAAATACGGCGCATAAAGGCGCCCGCGGCTAGTCGGCGAATCGATAAGCTGTTCACGCACACGTACGCCCAATCGTACACAAACACGCCCGTGCTCGCTGCAATACGATAGTAATAAAAATTTACAGAAATTGATGGAGGGTTTTATAGGGGTGAATTTGAAAGCGAGTTGAGATATTTGTAAAATTTTTAAAGGTAATAAATCAATCATCATCATAAGGTCGTCAGTACTAAGACTGGTTGGACACGCACCTCCACTCTTTCTTATCCTGAGCTAATCTTCGCATTTCCCTAAAATTATAACAATTCACATCCTTAACAATTTGCGAACAGTAATCTAACCTAGGTCTACCTCTACTCCTCTTACCACCTGTTTTTGCCTCTAATATGTCTCTGACTAGACCGTCATGCCTACCAACCTATCTCACCTATTTCTTATTGACTTCCAAAGAATCCTCTGTTCTCCTATTCTTTCTAGATCTCCATCTACCCCTCCTAACTCCCGTTTCTGCTTCTATATACATTTTTAAGTATATTTAACATATTCTCCCATTTAACATTGTCAAAACTAATAACGGAAAATAAAGAGACTAAAAATTTTAGTAGTTCGCTTTAGGCCCAAGGGCTGCAACGGTTCATTCTCCATACCTATCTTGGAAGTCAGATAACTTACAATAGAATAAACAGTAGATACATAAAACAAAGAATAGCGCAGGGCCGAATCGCTTTTTAACAATTACCGTGAATAGAAATAGTTACATAAATATCAGGAGGTATTGGAGAAAGCAGGAGAGCATAGAGCGCTGGAAGTCAATAAAGAAAAGGATAGAAAGGAAGGTAGAACACCTTTAATTAAAACCACGTTGGGTATAAATTACTCATTATGAGTAATTATGTTGAATTTGATAAATGTCAACGGAATCTATGGAACGAATTAAGAGAAAAAAATAATGATATATGAAGATTGGAAAAAGTTTGACGGTTGTTGTAGAACAAACAAAATAACTAGTGAACTAGTTCACTTCAGTCCCTGAAGAAGGTAATTGTTACCAAAAAATGCTTCGGACAATTACAGTGTCGTGTTTTGGCGGTGGGGTTTGAACTATTTTGTTTGTTTTAAGATAATGATATAACAAACTCTTATTTAGGAAAAACAAACGTCGATATACTTGATTTTGGTTGGTTTACCTTGTTATTTATTGATACTCTCTATCGTAACANGTATATTGTTTTCGTATCATTGTATGGTCTTCAGCAAACATCTTGAAAGTGACCAGTCAACAGATCAGAAACAGATGTTAAAACTAATAAAAATAAATGTTTGAATTGGAGTATTGTTCCGAAATCCGAACATCTAAACCTCCAAGGCCTGGTTTTGTCTGCATTTTTGGGAAACGAGATAACTACATACAAAAAAAATATCGGTATTATACTATCGACATTGATTTTGGTTGGTTTACCTTGTTATTTATTGATACTCTCTATCGTAACAGCCGCTCTTATTAGCGAAAAAATATGTCTTTATTCAGAAAGCAATAATAATTCATTAGGTATTTCTTTACTGTCCATATAATGAAAACCGTCAATAATCCAATAGAATAGTCAATCCCCCAGTAATGTTCGCTGTACCTACAGGATTTACACTGTATTTTTTTTTGTCTTGTCTTGTAAGTATTGTATAAACATACTTTTTATACATTCGTACGCGCATATGTATTACAAGTTTGTAATGGTTTGCCTTTGTTTTT